TCTCCCTGCAAATGGAGAAAGATATTATCTTTGAAGGAGGCGTACTCACTGATGAAGGCTACAAGTGACTCATCTCCAATCAAGGAGTTATCCAATCAAAGTACGCCAGCTCTAACGAAGAGAGCTCGTCAGAGGTGACGCCAACGCCAAGCTCGTCAAATCGCCAAGGTATTGGAACAAGTCGACGGGATTCAATATTACGTAAACTTGGAGTCCATGAGGTGTCAAGCAACCAAATCACTTCAATAGAGTGTGGCTGACAAATCCTCCAAGCCATTGATGGAAGAATGTATCCTTGTCAAAAGGAATCGTTCAACCCAGAAAGAGCGTATCCAAAGGCAACGTGCAAGTGCCGCACATGCTCGCACCCTTTTGCAAAAGGCACAAGGCATGAAGAAGGAAGGGATGGCCAAAAAACCACCAAGACCACGTTAAGTCTGGAGGCCAAAGTCCAAAACAGCATCAAAAACAACTCTGAAAGCGGTCGAAAAGATCAGAAATCTCGAGCCACTTCAGGGTGACTCACGCCAAGCCCGTGTCACCTCAAGGTGTCTCGCACCTAATTCGCCTCCTATAGCCATTTCTCCACTTCCATCAAGCCTCATTCCTATTCTAGTTGATCACGTACCTCTGGAGAAGTCTCATGGCAGCGTTGACCTGTCGAAATTCAAGGTTACGACGATGGACTGTCTTGATCCTTCGCACAAAGATTGAAACAAAGCTCCGATGAACAAAACCCGAGTAGTTTCTCAGGTTGGGGGTCGTACAAATACTCCCATCAAGCTAAAGGCTGCTCAAAGGTGTCTCGACATCTCCAAACAAACCGGGGAGCCTCATTGTACATGTCCGTGCTCCGTGCCCAATAGGATTCCTAGCATTGATCGCCTGGGGGTTCGTATTGAACCCCAGGAGCCCGTTAAGGTTCCACGCTCACAAGGGGGTGGTCCTAAATGTGCGACTCCTGATATGACCTTGGATTGTTCAAAGGTGACAACAAATCGTCCCAAGAATATCAATAAGGCTCTTCATCCCTAAAAGAAGACGTGTCCGTCAAAAGATAATGTTATACTTGGAGCATCACACTAACAAGCGATGGATTACTCCAATGAGCTACACCATCAGGCTGGGGGTGTGAACAAATCCCAAAAGGAGGGTGTCCAGGAAATCAGCTCTCACTGTCCATGCGGGAGATCTATCAAGGTAGTATTATCAAAATATAGCTGCCCCAGGGAAATCAGCTCTCACTGTCCATGCGGGAGATCTATCAAGGTAGTATTATCAAAATATAGCTGCCCCAGGACTTCACAAAGGGTCTCAGTATTCGAGAAACTTACCACCAAAGCATCGAAGCCCAAGCCAAGACATTTCCATGAGAGAAAATCCACCATCCAGGATGATGAATTCCCTGAAGTCACCATCAACATGGTTGACAAATGAAAGTCTGTGATTACTTCAAACGGCTCTAATCCCGACTTTTTTTCAGAAGAAAAGTCAAATCAGGGATAGGCTAACGAATGTCTCGGTTTCAGCTAGAAGCCATCGGACATTGGGAGTACCCGAGGATGCACGAAGGACTATCTTTGGAAGACGAACTGTCGGATACTTGCTCCGTAATCGCCTCCAATGATACAATATTCAGCATAAGGGAAGCAAGGGAGTCGTTCACAATCACTCCTGACCTAGTGGCTCAAATGCTTCAAGAGGCTTTAGCTCGACAGCAAGAGGAACTCAGAGCTAAAATAAAAATGGAGATGGAGTTGACCATGCAACAGATAAGAGAGCTACAGGCTGAACGACTTCAACCACCACCTGAGTCCAATCAGCAGGCTGAATCGAGTCGCCGCACTCAGAATGTCGTAGTTGACAGAGATCTAGAAGTGGACGAAGTCATCATGGCTGATGCACCCCTCAAAAATACTAGGGGTGGCCTAATTGCATCCCTCAGTAACACTAAGGGTGGTTCAATTGCACCCCTCAATATCACTGGGGGTGGTTCAGTTGATCTTTCTCGACATCCTCTAAAGAAAGATGCGGGTGAGAACAACAAGATGATGCAGGAGCTGGAAGATAAGGTCAACGCCTTGCGATTGGCTCAAGAAGTAAAGAGGACCGGTATTCCATGTCCATATCCAAGAGAGTGGGATTCAATCCCGTACCCGATGAAGTTCAATCTAATTAACTTCACATCATTTGACGGGAAAGGTTCACTCACTCAGCACCTAATTTATTTCAAGTCCCGCCTAGGAGTGATCTCCAGGAATGAATCCCTGATGATTCGATCATTCGTGGGCACCTTTCACAGGGCGGCCTTCGATTGGTATTGACGTCTCAAGTCGAGGAGTATTAACTACTGGGACGGCATGGAAAGCTCATTCCTCAACAACTTCTTCGACGATGAAATCGAAGTGTCAATTGGAGCCCTTTTGGATGAGAAGCAAAGAAAGGAGAGTCAGTTGATAGCTTTGTTAAACGCTTTCTAACAAAACAATGAATTGCAGGGATCCTGTCACAAAGGAATTCATCTTGCAGACATGTCATAACAATCTCTTCATTGATGTGCTGGAAGTCCTGGGGGTCGTATCATCTATAACATGGAAAGAATTAAAATTGTGCGGGGAACATGCCAAAATGCTTTCTGAAAAGAAAAAAAACTTGAAAGAGGTCAACCAACGACTAACCCCCCCACCCCCACTGTTTTCGTCAAAAGTTGCCTTCATCATTGATTTCATTAAAACTTCAAACGTTACAAATGAATTCAAATAACGAAAATAAAAATTATAACTTTCTTGAAAATAAACACAAGATCCGTTTATCGTCTCTTGCTTGCGTGGGTCTTTAGCCTGTGACGGGGACGTCGATATCCGTGGACTACCTGGCAATCAGATCTGATCCAAAAAAATCGGGCAGAGCTTCGTCGATCCGCGAGGAGATCTAGAAACTTGTAGCGCCTATCTCGGATAAAGCGAGATATTTGCTCTTCTTAGGATTACCGACGAGGGGTAATGCTAAAGAACGGATGCGGGTGATGTAAATCTGATGAAGAACTCTCTTGTGTTGAAGTGCTCGATCACTCTTCACTCCAGCAGGGCTTCACCAATTCTCCAAAAATCCAGATCCTCCAAAAGTGAGGCCTAAGGCTTCTATTTATAGGCGACACCCCTGAGGTGTCCTCAAAAATCTAGGACACCCCTGGGGCGTCCCCAAAAATCTAGGACACCTCTGGGGCGTCCCCAAAAATTTAGGACACCCCTGGGACGTCCCCAAAAATCTAGGACACCCCTGGGGCGTCCCCAAAAATCTAGGATACTCCTGGGACGTCCCCAAAAATCTAGGACACCCCTGGGGCGTCCCCAAAAATCTAGGACACCCCTGGGGCGTCCCCAAAAATCTAGGACACTCCTGGGGCGTCCCCAAAAATCTAGGACACCCCTGGGGCGTCCCTAAAAATCTAGGATACCCCTGGAGCATCCCCAAAAATCTAGGACACCCCTGGGGCGTCTCCAAAAATCTGGCACCCCGCTTGCTAAATTCTTCGTCCGAACTCGGATCTTAGTGATTCGAAATTGCGGTTTGGAACTTCTGACGAAGAGTTCTATAGCCCCGATGGTTGGATTCTATTCTGTAGAACGAACGAGACACGAAGGCGTTGTTCTCTTTTGTAAACCACGCGGGGCTCTCGATTCAGCCTTGCCTTCGTTATTGCCGAAATTACTGTCAGCTCACAAGTTAGTTCGTCGATTCACTTCAGCCGTCACCCCGACGACTCAAATCGAACTCTGTGAACAGATTAGGTGCGTTCAATCTTCCCGTGGAGACCTATAGGCAATTTTCGATGCCTACAGATACCCCCTCCAAAGCGTTCCAGACTCGTTTCTTTTATAGAAGAGGCTGGAATACTTTGGATGTGATTGGTCCAACCTTCAGTCGGCGTAAAGGACCCGTAGTTAGCTTCAACTCTTGGCTCCTTCGATTTTCGGTCTATTCGATGCTTTGACGAATAACCGAAGTTCTTCCGGCGCTGCGTTTATCGCTTGGCCGTCGTCGGAGTCTCGAGTCTACAGCTGATGAATTGAGTTTGGCTCGTGTCATTGAGTTGACTTTGAACTACCTCCGTCACATTGTGTTGACCTAGGATTTCAGATCACTGTATGTTGACTTTTTGCCGCAACGCGTTGACTGGCGTTGACCTAGGGTTACACGTTGACCGGCGTTGACCCTAGGGTTTCGAACGTCGAATGTTGACTTTTTGGTGCAACACGTTGACTGGCGTTGACCTAGGGTTACGCGTTGACTGGCGTTGACCCTAGGGTTTCGAACGTCGAATATTGACTTTTTGTCGCAACGCGTTGACTGGCGTTGACCTAGGGTTACCCGTTGACCGGCGTTGACCCTAGGGTTTCGAATGTCGCAACGCGTTGAAGGGTGTTGACCTAGGGTTACGCGTTGAACGGTGTTAACCCTAGGGTTTCGAATGTCGTAACGCGTTGAAGGGCGTTGACCTAGGGTTACGCGTTGACCGGCGCTGACCTAGGGTTACGCGTTGACCGGCGTTGACCCTAGGGTTTCGAATCAACCTGAGGAGAACCAGTTTATACTCGTGTACTCCTGGGAGTTTCGGGAATCAGTTTAGCCCCGTGTACCCGTCGGAGGTTGACGGGTTATCCTTAAGAATATTATACATAATATTTTCCAGGAACTTCCCGTCAATTGTGAGAAATAGTTTAGACTCGTATTCTCATTGGAGTATGAATACGAGTGTTGAATACGTCGTAAAAATATCTGAAAAGGGGATCAAAGTGTATATAAATTATCCCCAAGTCTTTCTACACGTTCGAGCCAACATTTCGCACCTCACACGCGTGTGAACCATCAAAAAATGATTTAATCCGGTTCGGTTCATGCCGGTTTGAGTTGGTTCGGGTCATGTGGGTTCGGTCCAACCAAAACACAAAAAACCCACTTACAAAAAACCGATCCCTCCTCTTCCGTTTTTTTTTTTCTTTTCCTTGCTTCGGTTTCTACAGTTCCGTCCCTATTTTTTTTCTTTTCTTCTTTTTTTTTGTTCGGTTTTGAGCTCTCCTTCTCCACCTCCCCTTTTTCGGTTTTGAGCTCTCCTTCTCCAAGGACTTCATCCTCTTCTTCTTCAAGCCTTCTAAACTCTTCAAAGCTTCATCTTTCCCTCATCCTCTCCAAAGCTTCAAGCAAAGAAAGTTGGGTTTGGAGGATCTTCATCAACAACAAAGTCTCCTCTTCAAGGATTCTCCAAGCTTTGGTAAGATCTTCTTTCCTTCATGCTTTAGATTGATTCTTTTCTCTTGAATCCTCCAAATTTCAAAACCCTAATTTTGGATTTGGGGAAAAATTAAATCTTGATTTTTGATTCTTGAAAGTTGGCCGAAATTTAGGATATGTATTCCCTCACCTTTGATTTCACTACATTCTTAATCTCATGCATATACATATGGCCGAAATTTGGGAGATGGATTGTGTGCAAAATTTGGGGAATTTGAGAGGGTATTTGGCCGAAATTAGGGCTGAAATTTTGGGGGTTTGTGTGTAAATTTGAGGCCGAAATTTTGGTGGGTTTATGTGCAAATTTTGAGGCCGAAATTTTGGTGGGTTTATGTGCAAATATGAGGCCGAAACTTGAGGGGGTATTTGCAAAAGAGGGCTACCATTTGAGGGGGTTATGTGCAAATTTTCGGCTAAAATTTTGAGGCTTGGATGTTTGACACAATTGGCCACAACTTTGAGGTGTGCTTCATGCAAAGAGATCACAAATTGTTGAGGGTTTATTTGCAAAATTGCCCATAAATGTTTTAGAGGGACTTATTTGCAAAAATGGCAGAAAATCCAAGGCTGAAAACCAAGAAGTTTAGACCACAAAACTACGATCAAAGTTTTGTGAAAACCAAACCGAAATTTGTGGAGGGTTTTTTTTGCAAAATTGACTAGATTTTACAAAAGGGTTTATTTGCAAGATTAACCAAAATTGTGGGGTACTGGGGGTGCTATGTGATCAGGTATGATGACCATGACCCAACTCGAGTGTGTCCTTGACCCGAATTTAGCCTTGAACACGAAGGGTATTTTGGGTATTTTATCAAAATTTACTGCGAAAAAGACAATCATTGTTTCGCATGCACGAAATTTGTAGGTTTAATTAGACTTCAACTATAAAATCCTATTTATACACAGGATTTTAATTAAAGTTCTTAATTTCCCTTTTAAATTTCGTGTATTCATACTTTAGATTGTATCTGACTTGCTGCTTTTCATTGCAGGTTTCTGATGCCTCCACGCCGATCTCGACTTCCTAGGAGTCGATCCCATTCGCAGCCTAGCGAGGAAGAAATTCCCGCAGCATCCTCCCCTCCAGCAGCTTCCTTTTTTGGGGGTGGGAATTTTTGGTCATTCGGGAAGGGCCGACACCCTCCTTCGCGGGGGTCGAGGTTTCGGACTTGGTGGTTTTGTCACACCCTCGTTTGGCCCCTTCGCGGGTCATTCGGGAAGGGCCGACACCCTCCTTCGCGGGGGTCGAGGTTTCGGACTTGGTGGTTTTGTCACACCCTCGTTTGGCCCCTTCGCGGGTCATTCGGGAAGGGCCGAAACCCTCCTTCGCAGGGGTCGAGGTTTCGGACTTGCCTTGCTTGGCTAATTCAAGTCTTCTGGTATATTGGGGCGATTTTGTGTCGTCCTACACCTTATAGGTCGGTGTATGTTATCACGTTATTTACGTGATGATGCATACCGTTCTTCCAGTGTAGGACACTCAAAATCGTCTCTCCAATTATCCCGTGACTGATCTTATCTCGCTTTTTATGAGCTTTCTGACTCTATCCTTGCAGTCGAGTTCCCCGCGGGCAGCCTTCCTCCTCATGCTAATACTGGTTGTAGCCGGGAGGTCTTCTCTTCAGCTTCCATCAGGCAGGCCGTTAGTCCACTCCCTCAGTTTGACAGAGATCGCTCCGACGAATCCTGTCGTTTGATACGGGATGGAGGACGCCTCCTTCACTGCAGATTCTACTTCCACTCAGGCTTTAAAGAAGCCCGGTTTTCTGTTCGGGCTGGTCTACAGGCAGAACTTGAGCAGAGTTATATAGATAGGCTTTCTAGTTTAGAGTCTCATATTCTTAGCCGTCAGCTGCCTTCGGGCTAACGAGCTCTTTATTGTATGCCTTGACTTGATCTATTAATAGAGACTCTGCATATGATTCCCTTTCTTTATTCACTTTGAATTCAGCGATGATAAAAGTTTACAGGATTTTTGGCAAACCCCCAGCCATCAACGGGTTTGATATGTCTTTACCGATTACCGTTTGATGAATTATTAAAACCCGTCTCACATGTAACGTTGTGCTACGAAAATCACTTTTCTTAGACTGGATGCTATGATTTTGAATACATAGGCTTAACCATTTCTTATAGGGAAAAGGTACCCCGCGTCGCGTATCAGACGACGACTTATCCCTTCTTAGTCTTCGGGATAAAATTCCCCAGGTTTAGACCCTGGTGTCTTTTTCAATCGGCGAAAGACTAAACCGGCAATGTGTGTTAGACATAGACTTTAGGATTTTTAGCAAACCCCCAGCCTTCAACGGGTTTGATGTGCCTTTACCGATTATCGTTTGAAATCGGGCTAGCATGCGGATTGTCTGAATCCGTTCCGCATGTAACGTTGTGCTAAGAGAGCGAATTCTCTGAGACTTTATGCTATGATTTCGAATACATAGGCTTCGCCCTTGTTACGGGAATAGGCTACCCGGCAACACGTGTTAGGTGTTGACTCATCCCTACTTAGGATTCGGGATGAAGGTCCCCAGAATTATACTCTGGTGTCTTTTTCAATCGGTAAAAGACTAAACCGGCAACGCGTGTTAGGCGTTGACTTATCCCTACTTAGAATTCGGGATAAAATTCTCCGTGCGTGTGAGGCACGGATTATGGTGTTATTAATAACAACCTGCCACAATGTTGAATATGTGGTCTTTTGTCCTTTTTACGGTCAAAGACTAACCGGCGATGTGTGTTAGACATAGGCTTTGGGATTTTTGGCAAACCCCCAGCCATCAACGGGTTTGACGTGCCTTTACCGATTACCGTTTGAATCGGGCTAGCATGTGAATTATTAAAACCCGTTTCACATGTAACGTTGTGCTAAGAGAATTGCTTCTCTTAGACTTAATGCTATGATTTTGAATACATAGACTTCGCCCTTGTTACGGGAATAGACTACCCGGCAACACGTGTTAGGTGTTGACTCATCCCTACTTAGGCTTCAGGATAAAATTCCCCAAGTTTAGACCTTGGTGTCTTTTTCAATCGGTGAAAGACTAAACCGGCAACGCGTGTTAGGCGTTGACTTATCCCTACTTAGGATTCGGGATAAAATTCCCCGTACCTGTGAGGCACGGATTTTGAGGGTTGAAAAGGTGGTGTCTTTTCTTAGGGCAAAGACGAACCCGATGCGAGAGAGGAAGAATTTTATATTCTATCTCCTAAAGCCGAAGAGGAAGAATTTTATATTCTATCTTCAGATGCAAAGGAGACTCGGGTGGGATCTCCACCCCCAGAATCCAGAAAAGTGAAACTAGAAGTGGGATCTCCACTCCGAGAATCGAAAAGATTCAAGCAACCCTAACTTTTATAGGTTTGATTGCTCAAATTAAAAGTGGACCTCTCGTTCATGGAAGGAATCGAGAGGGGAATCTGGCTTTGGCCCTAACTTTTATAGGTTTGACCAAGGGAGCATTGGGAATGGGAGGTTTGAGACGATCTTACCTTTTATAGGTTTGATCGCTTAATTTGTGGGCCTCTCGTTCATTGAAGGAATCGAGAGGGGATTTTGGTTGTGGTCCTAACTATAAGAAGGTTTGACCAGGTAGACAGTGAGGGTGGGAGTACAAATCATAGTGGGTTTAGTGTTTATCACTTTATTTGTAATGATCGGGTTATCCCTAAGAAAATTACATATAGTATTCTTCCGGGAACTTCCCGTTACATGAATCATCCACCCCCAGCTTCTTCGCGAAGCTGGATTTATCATTGCATTCGGTTACAGAATATTACGCATAAAATTCTCCAGGAATTTCCCGTGAAAGAAAGGAAATAGTTTAGACTCATATACCTGTTGGAGTGTCAGGAAGCAGTTTAACCTCTTATACCGGTCGGAGGATTAAGAAGCAGTTTATACTCATATACTCTTTGGAGTGTCAGGAAGCAGTTTAACCTCTTATACCGGTCGGAGGATTAAGAAGCAGTTTATACTCATATACTCTTTGGAGTGTAGGAAGGAGCAGTTTATACTCTTATACTTGTCGGAGTGTTGAGAAACAATTTATACTCGTATAAACGCCGGCTTCAACCAAGGTTTGGATGCTATTCTTTAAAGTAAAGCAATCCTTGGTGGGATGAAGGATCCTCCTGTGGTATGCGCAGTACTTTGGATCCGTAGTATTTTCAGCTTCCTCCTGATTCGTGATGGGCGGGAGCTTGATTTTGTTGTTTTCGAGAAGAGACTCGAAGATGGCGGGAACGTCTTCGTCTTTGAACGAGTACTCTTTCTGGGCCTTTTGATCCGAAGTCTTCTGCTATCTTCGGGACTGGTGTTGTGACGTTTGATTAACGTCAACGACTGTTGTAGGTGCCTTCCCTTCATCATGGGACACGAGACTTGAATCCAGAGGGTTGACCATCGGTTGGTTTCTTTCGAGCTTCCTCCTTCTGAGGAAGCGTTCGGCCTGTTCTCCGCGCACCTTCAACTCTCTCCATGTCTTGAGCGACTCTACTCCCATAACATCCAAGATGTTAATGGACAAATTGTTATGACAAGTCTGCAAGATGAATTCCTCCGTGATGGGATCCTTGCAGTTCATTGCCTGATTGCGGAAGCGTTTGATGAAGGTATCCACCGACTCTCCATCTTTTTGTTTCTCATCGAAGAGTGTCCTGATCGACACTTCAGCATCATCATCGAAGAAATGAGTGAGGAACATGCTCTCCAGGTCCTCCCAGCTGTTGATGCTTCCAAATTTAAGACGCCGATACCAATCGAAGGCAGGCCCGCGAAGGGTGCCAACGAATGACCGAACCATCAAAGGCTCGTTGCCAGAGATCACCCCCAAGTGGGACTTGAAATAAATCAGATGCTGAGTGGGGGAACCCTTCCCGTCGAATGGCGTGAAGTTGATCAAGTTGAACTTCGCCGGATACGGGATCGATTCCCACTCTTTCGGGTAAGGACACGGAATGCCGGTCCTCTTCACCTCCCGAACAGACATCAGGGCTTCGATTTTTCTTTCGAGCTCCTTCATCTTTTCGGCCTCACCCATATCCTGTTTTGGATAAGTTTCGAGAGGAATCATACGGCCACCCCCAGTGTTGTCACTACTGGTGGGTCCACCCCCAGTGTTGTTATTTTTAGTGGGGCCACCCCCAGTATTCTTGGGCGGTGCGTCGGCCATGACGATTTCAACCACCTCCGGATTGTTGCCAACTGCGGCGTTCTGGGTGCGACGGCTGGCTTCCACTAGCTGATTTGACAAAGCTCGGATTCGTTGATCGTGCATTTGTCTTATCTCTTGCATAGCCACTTCCATTTCAAACTTGAAGATTTCCTTCTGCTTAGTCAGGGCCTCTTCAATGATTTTGGCTATCTGATCTGTATTGACCATAAGCACCTCTCGAGCTTGCCCTATGCTAGACGTTGTATCGTCGGAGGCGAGTGCGGAATAAGAATCGAGCGCGGAATAGGAATCCGAGAGTTCATCATCGGAATGTACTCCCTCATGGATCCCACAGTAATTGTCATATCTGACGGCTTCTAGCTGAAGCTGAGCTATTCCCGAATTGACCCTGCTTCCCAAAGAGAAATTAGAGTCGGAATCACCTGAAATGATTGGGGATTTTCCCTTGTTGACCATGTTGATAGTCACTTCTAGGGGTTCATCATCTCGAGCAATCGATCCTCTTTGGTGGGAACGCCTTGATTTGGGCTTTGTCGGTCCATCGGAGATTCCCTCGAATATCGAGACCCTCTGTGGAGCGGTCTTGGGGCAGCTACAGGCTGATAATACTGCCCTGATAATTTTGGTACACGGACAGTGAGAATCCGCTTCCCGGGTGTTTCTCTTTCGAGATTCATCCACACCCCCAGCCTGATAGTACAACTCACTGACGTTGCCGTCGGAGTAACCTATCGGCTGCTCACATGGGTTCTCAGGTATAACGCGTTCGTTTGTTCGACGCGTCTTCTTCTGAGTAGACATTGCCTTGTTGGCCTCCGCAAGAGTCGCACGTTTGGAATCACTCCTTTGTGAGGGTGAAACCTTAACGGGCTCTTGGTCCTTTGCACGCACCGCCGAGCTGGTTGTTGCAGAGATCGATTTGTTAGGAGGTCGTGTACGACCCCCAGTCTGGGTGTTGGCTTGAAGCTCCTTCAGCGATCCCCAGCTTCCCTTGACAAGCGTTTTTCCTCGATTCTCGGGTAGAGCATCGATACGGTTGTTCAGAGGATTCCTAGACTCGGGGAATTCCATGCTGTGGTGGGGCTTCACCGAAGGTTCGGGACCTGAAATGGACGAAGGTTGGAGAGCAATATTACCTGCTTTTACCTTAGGCGTTGATTCGGCCTTTGGCATCCAAACTCGTTCGGACCTCGGCGATCTCTTAACGGCCTCTCCCTTTAGCATTTCTCGTGCTTTTTGGACCAGGGCTCGGGCATGCGCACGCAAGGCGCGGCGCTTCTGGATTCGCTCCTCGAGAGTAGAACGGGTTCTTTTGACTTGAACCCATTTGTTCGTTTCTGCTTCGGAGGAGGGGCTGGTTGTTTGCCGTGGTTGCTCCTGGCGTTGCCTGGATTTTAGATCTACGTTATAGCGGATCCCATCCATCGGCTCCAAAGCTTCGGCCAGCTGTCGAGCAAGACGTTGACGCTGTCTTTGTCGTGCTCTCTTTGATAATGCCGGAGCGTCTTCAGAAGTCATCTCCTCGGCGGAAGAGGAATCCGGATCTGCGATCTCGACCAGGTTGGACGACGTGGGGACGTCGCGTGGTGCAAGTGCAGAGGCGGCAACGGGGTCTTGGATTTTTGAACCGAAGGACCTGCAATCATTTATGAAAGAGGTTACCTTTCTGTACCCGTTTGGAGAGGCGGATCTGGAGGAGGAGGAAGAGAGGCCTTCTTTGAACCGTTGTTGATCGAGCTCGTGTTCTTCATTCACCCCGATCTTG